TTGGCCTTTCAGGTGGCAGGTTCCCATGTGATAAGAACATTTTTCTTGGGAGGACTTTGTCCCACCCAGGACAAACCGTGCTCGCTCAGGGCATCTTACGGTCTTTGACCAGCAGAGGGATCCCGAGCCCCGCAAGAAGGGGAAGAATCCTCTGCTGTAGCTCTGAAGCAGATTTCGAAAAATTACAGGCAAGGAAACAGCGTTTAAAGGTTTCAGTTGGTTCCTGCCAGCGCTTGCAGTTTGCCAACTGTACGATGAATCATTACCTGTTCCCTGTCTACCTGTTACTGGGGAACTCAGCGGCTGTCTTCGTGGGGGCGAAAATCTTTAGGGTGTTTGTGAAAGCACAGGGTTGTTTTAAAGTATCTGTTGGGTTTAATCCGTTGTTATTTATGTGTATTTAATAGTGATCTGATTTTTATATCCAACATTTTTATACTTGCTTCTTGCTGCCTTTTTCATATCTAATTTCATCTTAATTCTGTCCCCCACCCCCAGTACTCTTCTTTTAAATCCGTCCTGCAGGCAGCAGCAGGCTAGGTGGAAAAAAACCCCCGAGGATGGCAGGATAAGGTGATTGGAAACAGCAAGTCAGCGAAAGGACGCAAGCGGTGGGATTGACATTTGTCTGGTTTAGACAGTTTCCAACACAGAGTGAGGAACAGAAGTGGTTACAGTCTGTTCTTTGCTGACATCTACGGCTGTTCCTGACAATACAGCAGGGCCGTGCTAAGGAGGGATGCTTGAACACGTCCCTGTCTACATTATGTTGGGGGTGGTTCCCTTAGCTAGAATACTGCCTAGCTGCACCACGTCAGGAACCCATCTGGGTGGAAAGGGAGCGATTAGACGTAAAATGGCACGCCCAGGTTGTTAATTAACCCCTTGGCCCCTTTCTTGCACCCCGTGGAATACCCTTGTCTTTCTGACCCTGCAGGAGGGCTCACGAATGGGAGCGGCCGCTACATCTCGGCTGCTCCCGGCGCCGAAGCCAAGTACCGCAGCGCCAGCAGCGCCTCCAGCCTCTTCAGCCCCAGCAGCACCCTCTTCCCCTCGTCCCGCCTGCGCTACGGCATGTCCGACGTCATGCCCTCCGGCCGAAGCAGGCTGCTCGAAGATTTCCGCAATAACCGCTACCCCAATTTACAGCTGAGGGAGATTGCTGGGCACATCATGGAGTTCTCCCAGGATCAGCATGGATCCAGGTGGGATTAAAAACCTCGCGCTGCGGGAAGCTTTTCGGGACAGCTGCGCGTGGAGTTCGCGTCGCTTGCGGTTTGCATCGCCGCCTGGAGCGGAGAGGCAGAACAGGGGCAGGAGGTGTGAGAAGCCGAGTGGTGTAACACCGACCCTTCGTTTTAAAGAGGGTTTGGGTGCCAACGCTGGTGGCAGGAGCTGCTCCTCCAAAGAGGAGCTTGCTTGCTTTGTAACTTGCTTGCCAGTCCCACTGCCATGACTAGCTCGTTTTAAAAAGCCCCCTAGACGGGAGACCTTGCTGTATTCCTCTGAGATCTGCTTAGCTTGGAATGAGGACATTTTTGGGGTGCCAAAGGTGATGTGTGGCCATGGAACCCCGTGGCTGCGACCACCCTGAGGTTTCAGGTTACTGGGCAGAGCAACTGTGGTGTAAAGGTTTGTTTTGCCAAGAGGCTTTTGAAGGGATTTGTGTTAACGAACGTGTTGAGGGCCTCTGTGCCAGTGGCGTCACACCAGCCCTGTTTTTCAGGTTTATTCAGCTGAAACTGGAGCGTGCTACCCCAGCGGAACGTCAGCTTGTGTTCAACGAGATCCTCCAGGCAGCGTATCAGTTGATGGTCGATGTCTTTGGAAACTACGTCATCCAGAAGTTCTTTGAAGTAAGTCAGCCTTCCCCTGCAAGTCCTGCTCGGATGCCTGCTGTCCTGAGGTATTGGATGAGCTCAGAGAAACCGTGCCATTTGGCTGAAACGGTGGATACCTGTCAACACTGAGGTCATCTCCTCCCCACAGGCTGTTGCATCGTTCCTGTTGGGGTGACTGAGGTGTGGGACTCGTAAAGATTAATCTGAAAAGTAACATGTTGCTTGGGGATGCGAAAGGTGTAGGAATAAACAGCAACATATCCTGGAGATGTAGGTCCAGCACGACTTTTCAGGGATGCTGTGCTGAGCTGTCAGTACTTAGTGTTTGGGAGCAAAGGAGAAACGTTTCCAGTGAGTGGCATCCACTGGAAGAAAGTGGCATCCACTGGAAGAAAGTGGCATCCACTGGAAGAAAGTGGCATCCACTGGCAGAAAGGGGCGTGCAAAGTGGCATCCACTGGAAGAAAGTGGCATCCACTGGAAGAAAGTGGCATCCACTGGAAGAAAGTGGCATCCACTGGAAGAAAGTGGCATCCACTGGAAGAAAGTGGCATCCACTGGAAGAAAGTGGCATCCACTGGAAGAAAGTGGTGTGTTTTCATACCAGGAGGGTGGGAGATGCCCATCTTTCCCTCTTGGAACTAGTCTGTTCCTTCTCCACCAAGCCTCGGTGGTTCTGCTGTCCGGTTCTTTTCTGTCACCCCTGTCAAGGGTTGGTGAGCTGGCACGTGTCACCCTGGTGGCTCCAGCACCTTTGGCTCTGGAGTTCATGTCACGTGTGTCAGGCATGTCTGACGGCCACAGCACAGACGTCTGGCTCGTGCCTGTTCCCATCCATTGAGGTGTGGTTGGTGCTTTCATCGGTTTTGGTCGGCGCGGTGTTCCTTGTTTGACGCTTCGGCCTGACAGCGTGGGGAGGGGGCTGCTGGGCTGCACGAAGGGTTTGTGCTCGTAGTGACTGGGGTTTCCTCTTCCCAGTTTGGCAGCCTGGAACAGAAGCTGGCCTTGGCAGAACGTATCCGTGGGCACGTGCTGTCCCTGGCTCTGCAGATGTATGGCTGTAGGGTGATCCAGAAGGCCCTGGAGTTTATTCCCCCAGACCAGCAGGTAATTGTAAGTTTCAATTTTAACTTTCTTCTTGATGTTGAATGTTCCTTGCCGTTTGGTGACCTGAACCGCGACCTTCCGTTCCTCTTGTGGCTGCTGTTCTTTTGGTTTGGTTTACGGCACGTTTGTTACATTTCATGTGCATGATAAGTGTGTGACGCTGTTCTTGGGTCTCGTTGTCGTCTCCTTGTTCCGCTGAACTGGTAACGGTGTCGGGTCTCTGTTAATTCCCTGAAATCAGATTATGTCTGTAGGGGAAACGCAGAATGATGGTGAATTAGAAGATTTTAATTTTTTTTTTTTTTTTTCAAATCCCTTGAAGGAAGCAGTGCCAGAGCTTTGCCTTTAATATTCACTGAGGTATCACTGCTTTGATATGTGGGTCAATATTCTGCTTTCCTGCAACGAGGTGTATGAGGAGCTCCTGGTTCCTGTCGAGCCAGGCCTGGCATGGGAGAGATGTGGATGATAGCCAGAGTCCCACTCAAAGCTCATTAATAAAGCAGTTCCGCTAGGGTTTTATGAACAATGAATTAAGATGAAAAATACGCAAAGCAAGCTAGCTATTAAAGGTGTTAGGAACTGTAATACAAGAATCTCAATGTAGGTTATTAAATTACAAAACTGAAAGAGGATTTAGGAATGCTCATTCCCCTTAGGTTGAGCCCGAGCTAAGCCGTTGCCTTAGCATGTCAGCAGGGTGGTGCCCAAGCTCCAGCACTGCTGGTCTGAGGCTTTACTCATTGTCTTCCTTCAGAAGGGTGTTTTTCTGTACTCTGTGCTCCTGAAAGGCCTGGGTTTGGGTCAGTTGCAAAACTGAACTCATCCACTTTTGTAGTGTTGTTAAACTCCCCAAAACTGTCATTCTCCGTTTTCTGGTTGTGGAACTTTTAGCCTGCACCTGTGGTACATGGGTCATATCTAAACTTTATCGGCTCGGATTCCTTAATCATTCAGTATTACCTTGCCTGTCTAAAATGCTAGCAAGTTCTTATCCCAGTGCTGACCCCATTTTAGCAACATATGAAGCTGATACCCAAAAAGTTTGTGAAGTTTGGGCAGTTTAGATTTTTTTTTTTTTTTTTGCTTCTTGAGGGGCGCAGAGGAGGAAATGGGGGATGCACAGTAAAGCTGTGGATCAGTAAAGCTGCTTAAATGAGGATGCTTACCTTGTAAGAGGGCACTCCTGTTTAACAAAAGGAGTGCTTCATCTTCGTTTCGTTATCGTATCTTTCTTGGTGGTTTCTGTAGCGCAGCAAGCTTCATCTCAGCGCTTGGCCGCTTTACGGTTTGAAATACGTCGGTGCATCCTTCATATCTTCGTATCTTTGACCGTGTTTAGCAGTGAAAACTTTGCATTGTCAGTCGTGAATCCTGGTGGTGCTTTCTGCTTGTCTCTCTCTCCTCCTCGTAGAACGAGATGGTGCGGGAGCTGGATGGCCATGTCCTGAAGTGCGTGAAAGACCAGAACGGTAACCACGTGGTGCAGAAGTGTATTGAGTGTGTGCAGCCCCAGTCCCTGCAGTTCATCATCGATGCCTTTAAGGGACAGGTAAGCCCTTGACCAAGATACTGACTCTTCTCCTTTGTGTTCTTACGTGTGGCATGAGAGTGGCTGTAACTTGTTCCGCTATTTTGAGATCCAAGTGTTAGCACGCATCAGCTGGCAGGTTTATGCGGCAGTGTTAGGGAGCCGAGAAACTCTTTGGTCATGTCTCTGTTGTCCGTTTTTGTGCAGGTACCTCACAGTAAAGCATCCTTGCAAAAATCTGTTTTCCTGGAACATCAAGTGTTATTTGACTGATGGAGGGGAAAACAAGTCTCTCACTAATCCATCTTCATAGCAAAGGTGGTGAGCGGAGTTTTGTGATGGGTACGGTAAACTTCTGCTATGATCCCTGCCTGTGAGGATGGCTTAGGCGACTGCTGTTTCCCAGGGGTCTCAGGCCAGGGTTAAAACATGATTTCATCTGGAAAAGGCAATTACTTGTGCTTCACTCTCCTAGTTTTTTCTGGGTATCCTCTCCTGAATTGATACCCTGGGTAATAATTGCGTAGCTGGCTTTGTTCTGCCTGTAGTCAGCTTGTCTTGCATTACAAAAGCGCCGGTTGGGTGTTCCCAACTTCAACTTAATTGGCTTTGGAGGGGGACTTTGAAGTGTTGACGGTTTTGCCACAGGGCTGTGAGGATAGCCTGGGGTTGCTACAGCAGGAACCAGGCTTTATTAGTTTGGCTGCTCCTGGAACAGTCGTGAACCTGGGGGACTTGCTTGGCTGTGTCAAAACAAGCAGGATTCTAGCTAGAAACTTGCTCAGCAGATTTGCTGCTTAGAGTTTAGTTTTGGGCCTTCCACCGGGGAGTTAGGCAAGGCAGAAATACCTCTGGGAGCTTGGTTGATGGTGCTTTGACCGGCCGTCCCGGTTTCATCTGAACTTTTACATGGAGGATTAAACTTAGCACCTCACGACTATTTTTCGGTAGTTAATTGCACTTCAAGTCCTGTTTTCCTGCAGAGTTTACTCAGTAGTTATTAAAAATTTGTAGACTGTCAATTTAACTTCAGTGCTTGGATTTGCTACTTTTGTTAATTTTAAGCAACTAAATAGGACTTTGTGCTTTAGACAGAAAACTGCAGCGGTAATAAAATGTGTCATGTTCTTACTGACAGATTTGGTAATCCGTTAGAAATGAGAAAGAAGGTTCTTTGTTGTCGCTTCTCCTAAGCGCAGTTAAGGCTTTTAAACAAATCCAAATAGTTGAGGAAAATCCTTTGCTGAGCATTTTTAACTTTTCTGGTTCATACCGCTTCTTACATGGCTTAAAAACGTAGCCAGCCAGCAGTGTGCTGGATTTATTCTTCTGAAACAGCGTTCTAACACAGCCTCTAATAACGCTTGGTCGTCCTGGTGCTCTTTTTATTACTCAAGAGTCTTCACCGTTTGTTTTGCCGTTTGGTGAACGGGGAAGCTGAAGCACAGGTAGGGGTGTGCTGGGCCTGCGATCACCCAGTTAGTCCTGTGGCAGTGGGGAACAGCTGTTTCCAGTTCCAGTTTACGCTGTCTGGAGCTGCCGTGCTGCAAGCTGGCGTTACCTGCCGTGCCCGGGAAAAACCACCGCGCGTTCATTGAATTCCGAAAGGTTTCTGGGGTTCACAAAGACTAACGGCTGTGTGGCTGCCTGTGCTTGCCTGTCTCCGTTGAACCCAGGTCTTTGCGTTGTCTACACATCCGTATGGCTGTCGTGTGATCCAGAGGATCCTCGAGCACTGTCTTCCTGAGCAGACCCTTCCCATCTTGGAGGAACTTCACCAACACACCGAGCAGCTCGTTCAGGTCAGTGTGGGAAAGGGGAAAACCTGCGAGATGTTGCTGCTTGGTGTTAGGAAAGCTCCTGGTAGGCTTTTGGGCTCCTCTGAACACAGGGACGCTGTTCCTGAGGAGGACTGGGGAGGAACGTGGCAGACAAGGAGTGCATCGCCACGACTCGTTGTGGCTGTGAGCCCGTGGCCAGCAGGTGCCAAAGCTGGGGTTACTTTCCTTTTTGAAAAGCATCCTGAGTGGGTGCGTGTCCTGGGGCTTCACTCCAGAAGTCACGGTGAGAGTAAGATCTAAAGGGAGTTGATGCCAAGAGCCCGTTACTTCCAGGAAAAGAAAGTGCCAAGTAACTGGGGATCTTAAAATGTGTTGGTTTTATGCACACCCCCTTCCTGGCTGCCTTGCCTCTTCCTTGCGGTCCTTCTGGGAACTCATTTTACTGGGATCCCAGTACTGGGGCACAATGGACATAACTGCCAGTGGACCCTGTCCTGTGGGAAGAGGTTGGGTGTGGAGGTGAGGCATCGGGTCATGCCTCTGGTGGTGTCAGCTGGGAAAATCTGTGTCTTGTGACCTGAATACACACACGTGCAGAATATGAACGTGCACAGGGACAGTGTCCCATAGCTAGGGCCGTGCTGCAGCCCTCCAGGACCTGTGGTTTGGTGTGTTTGAACCTGGAGAAAGCAACGAAACTTGAAATGAGCAGAATGTTGACATTTTGTGTTCGAGGATGTTGTTTAGAGCTTTGCAGTTGGTACAAAGATGCAGCATTTTGCCTCCTGGTAAAACTCTCAAATGCACGTTTTCTGTAGAAGTAGAAAGTATTTCCGTGATTTATACCGTAGATATTTTATCTAGTGTTTAGTTCAAGTTTGTAAGTCTTAATGCACATTGGGAACTAGCTTGATATGAATGGTTCCTGTCCACGTTTTGTCACACCCTTCTGCTGTCTCTCAAACAGGATCAGTATGGGAACTATGTTATCCAGCATGTACTAGAACATGGTCGGCCTGAGGATAAGAGCAAGATTGTAGCAGAAATTAGAGGCAACGTGCTCGTGTTGAGTCAACATAAATTTGCTAGGTATGAATTTGTTCCTTAAAGTCTCCACGCCCCGTGGGAGCATGGACACGTGCTGGAGGTGTAGGGAGGTGAAAGGAGGTGAACGTTACTTTCCGCTTGACACCAGAATGCTGTTTGTAACTGCCTGTAAACGGGGGTGAGCGACTGGCACGGCGAGTTTCGCTGGTAATGAAGGAAGGTGAAGATGTGGAAGAGCAGCTCTAACCCAAGTTCCTGACCTTGACCAAGAGTTTTTGTGTGTGTTGGGGCTTTTTTTTGTTCCGTTTGGGTGGTTTTTAAGGGGTCGCTCTCCCTTGGGTCGTCACATGCCGTGAGAGTGTCTCACTGCCCCTGGGATGCTGTGTCAAGCCACAAGGGAGTTTGGGAAATCGATGTAGCGACGATTCTTTTCCATCCCACTTTTCACAGAAGAATCTGGGCTTTTTAGACACTTAGGTCTTGCGGTCCCTGTTGGGACCCAGGCATGGGGTTACCTCTTAGGGAAGCTGCAGCAGTCTGAGGTTCTTGGTCCAGATGCTACAGAGCTGCACGTGGGTAGAAGCAAAGTCCAGGTACCTCAGTGGATGTTAAGACAAAGCAATACTTCCCACATCTGTAAATGCCTTTTGGGTGGGTTTCTAGCCATTTGAACATGAAGGCCGAGCTCTTCAAAGGCTCAATGTTCCCCCCTTTTTATGATCAGTAAAATAGTGCTTTAATACTTAGGGACACAAGGGAAGTGTAACATTAACAAGAACTAAAAGAGCGTGGTCTTACTGTTGTTATTTCGGTTTCCTCCTCCCTGACTTGCCTTGTTCTTTTTTTCTGAACTTCTTTCCAGATGGAGCATTAATTAGCGTAGGGTGTCCCCTGAGCTGAGCACTAGTTGTGGCAAACCACTTGGTGATTTTATCATTCAGTCAGGGATGCAAAAGATAAGACTAGCAAAACTCTCCGTCCCCTTTCATAGATCCTATTTAACTTGGCTCTCCGGAGAGCAGAGACTAGTCATCTAATAATATATTCAGGAATTTTGGAAGTTCTCTGCCTTTACTGAGATCTTTGGTTCCTGAAAAAGCATTTCCCTGTTGTTCTAACCTTGGACCTCCGTTCCCATCGAGCTCCAGTACTGAGAAAACCAAACAAAGAACAACTGCTCTCCTTCTCTACTGGGCACGCTGTGAGAATCTCAAATACAGAATCATTGCAGAGTTGCACAAATTCGGGTGAAATCAAACCTGAACCGGTCCTTTACCCAAATTCCCACTCGGAACCCAAGTCCCTTGGAGCGCTCTTCTTCCACCTTGCTGAACTTCTGTGCCAGCACACGCCTCTCCCAAACGATCTGCCCTGGCTAGGAGCCCAAGAGCTCTCCGTGGGGTTGGGTGCAGAGCCCAGCGGAGCCGTTGGGCGCTCACAGGTTCTCCTTCTCCTCCTCCTCCTGTTGTTGCAGCAACGTGGTGGAGAAGTGCGTGACTCACGCCTCCCGCACGGAGCGCGCCATGCTGATCGATGAGGTGTGCACTATGAACGACGGCCCTCACAGTGCCTTATACACCATGATGAAGGACCAGTACGCCAACTACGTGGTGCAGAAGATGATCGACGTGGCCGAACCAGCGCAGCGGAAGATTGTCATGCACAAGGTGAGCGGCTGCCGCGGTCGATGAGGAGGCGAGGCTCGTTGGGGAGGGGAAGGAAGGCTCAGAGGATTGCCCTTGCCCTTAGAACTTCCTCACGGTGGAGGTAGTTCGAAGTTGCGCATTTCAGTAGTAGCTGGGATACAAAAATGTGAAATAACGAGGTGCCATTGGGACTCAAAACTAGCTGCTTGCTCCTAGCAATCGCTCCTGACCCGGTAACCTAGTTCTGCCCTCGTGGCGCAGCCAACGCTGCTGAAACCCACCGAGAGCGGCGGCAGCAGCGCCGCCGGGTTGGTGCCTCCC